GTTGTTGTAATCCTATTAAAACGCCAGCAAGCTACCTTTTTGCTAGTAGTACGCCTGCCCTTCACCCTCCTCCAGCTCTTCCAGCTCCTGCTGTTTCAGCTGCTGTCAGGCGCCTTTGTTTGTTGTTTCATTTCAATTCGCCGAAACAAAGACTTAAAGTGCTCATTCACCTGATTTTCAGGTTTTAGGTAGACAACACTCTTTGCATTCTGCTCGGACCTATTCGCTCCCGAGAGCAGCAAAGGCATTCCGTTCCGTACCGTTCCCTCCCGGTCATAGTTCGCATGTTTATTTAAACCAAAACCAAATGCCTGCCTGGCTCTTGTCTGTTTGTGTGTCTGGCTGTGGAACTGTTCAGCTTAAATAGGCCTCAATTTAGCCAGGATTTTCCATTCGATTCCATGATGGAGTTAAGTATGTGCCTGACACACTTTTCACGCTGAAGGACTTAGTCCGGCTGATAGGCATTGGGCGGCAGAAAAGCCATTAAATAAGCTCATTGATTGATGGCCGGATTAAAGTTTGTTTTTAAATATAACACCCGACTTAATGTAAGTTCTGATTTCAAGTGGGAATCGGGAATAATCCACAATCAGCGGACGGCAAGAGTCCTCAAAAGCAGTCTGATCCTGTGGCAGAGGTAGGGGTAGGAGGTGCCACCTCAATCCGTTCACCTTGCTGGCTGCACATAAAAATCTCAAGGATTTTATGCGGAAAGCAATAAATTTGAGCATAGCTCACACAACGTTACTTCCGCTATTTATGGCCGTTTCCAGCAACAGTTTCCATATGCTGGCGCCCCATCCGATCACCCGATAGCGCCATACCACGGAGCCATTTTCAATATCCTTTAGCCCCAGACCCTCGCCTCGCCTCGGCTCGCATCGCATCGCATAGCAGCCTTATTTATTGAAATATTCGCTGCTTTCGTTTCGCTTAGCTCTTGGAAAAGTTTTAAGCCATTTCGATTGTGTCCTTGAGGCACTAGGCTAGCGCTAGGCGCCTCCGCATTGTTTCCGTTGGCTCGTAGGCGGAGAAGCATGACAAGGCCAAGTCCTTGACCCCCGCCGAGAGGGAAATATTCCCATTCGGGTGTAGCCACATCCAGACAAATTGTCGTAAAAACTCAGCAATAATCGTCAGCATCAAGTCAGTCGATTGGGTACCTAAACCCAGGTCCCGAAGACTTCCCCGTCCCCAAAAAATATTGCATTCACTTTGGCCTAATAGAGAAATAGCCGTAAATTCTGTTGCCACTCATTGTGCAGATGGCACGTCTGTGTGGGGCTATTGATATATTTGGCTCGGTGTGGCTGTGTGGCCAGCAGAGAAATCACGTCTTGGCCATGTTGCAGGACGTATGTTTACGGCTGCATCTTAAACTCTTTAAACCATAAATAGCCGAAGAACTTTCTCATTTAGCTGCTGGCCATAAAGGAAAGAACCCCTTCCATCGAATGGAGTTGTAGTTATCTATTGCCAAATTTTCTACACGTTTCTGGATATTTACGTTGCCTCTCACAGGACACACTCGTCAGCAAAAGTGTGGAGCGGTTGTGGGGCACTAAAGGCTAGTGCAAAAGACTTTATATTGGAAGAGCTTTGCATACCTGCCTTTTCGCAATTTGTGGAAGAGTGTAATTGAAATGGGCGCCATTCGCAACACGAATTCAATTGAAAAGGCAAACAAATCAGAAAGCGGCAGAGGCACGACATTAGCGATGCCTGCCCCCATCGCCAAAAGCTGCCCAAATGGCATGAAACTATGTCGATGGCCGTTGTCACTGTCGATGATGTCGGTGGTCTGAGGATGGGGCTTAACCTGGGGCTGGTACTGAAGCCGAGTCTGAGTCTTGCCGGAAGCCAAACGAAAAACATTTCTAATTTCAGTCCTGATGTTGATGAATGGCAATAGACAAGAGAGCAGGTGGCAAGAGCAGTGCCAGCCACGTTCACGTTCACGTCCACGGAACCGGCTAAAATGCGACAACAAGCTTGGTGGACAGACAGACGGGCAGACGCACAAATAGATGTGGACACGGAAGCGGCGACGATGGGTAGGTAGCTAAATGTCAATTGTCGGGGGCAAAAGTTTGCCCGATGGGAATGGGAATAAGAGTGGCAGTTGGAGTGGGAAAGACCATCATTTGTCCAGGACGCCTCGCGGTGACATGCTGCAGATACGTCAGCGCCGGGACTTCAGCGCCGAGAATGGTGATGGCTGGATGGGTGGATGGGCGGGGAGATGTCTTGAAAATTTCGCATGGCTTTGGCACGCATTGTTGGCGGCTTGTTATGGATTCGGTGTGGCGCGTGTTCAGCTTTTGTATCCTATACCCGGGGAGATACCCGAGAATACCCGAGGAATATCCATGAGTTTGTCGGCAGCAATTACCGTTGATCTCAAGTGTTTTTTATCGCCGCGCGTCCTGCCTCGTTGTTATGACATCGGTTGGCACGTATTCCCACGTCCAAGCCATCGCATTCAATTTGCTTGATTTTATTTCCGCTTCGTTTTCGCGCTGTCCTGTGCCGTCCTGTCCCTGCGCCCATAACGGGGCAACTAAAAGGACGAATGATGGCACCGAACCTCCTCTGGTCATTTGATAGTCCATTTCCATTCTGATTTCGAGTCCATGTCCGTGTCCTTCCCCCAAAAACTTATCTTTGATTTCTGTCGTTGCTGCTGCTGCTGCAACTGCAGCTTAAGTGTGCAATTTGATTTGATTTTTCCCCAATTTTTGAACAGGTCCTTAAGGCCCACTGCCAACCGTTGCCGTTGCCGTTGCCCCACCCCACCACCCTTTTCTCTTCTGTTCGACCTTGTTTGGCACTAAAACTGCCACAAAATTGACATTTTGTTTAATATTCTCGAGTGTGTTTTGTGCTATGTTTTCGGTGCCTGCAGGGTAAAACTGGAACTGGTACTGGTACTGTCAGTGCAGGCAGCCAGGATGTGGATGTGGGCCGTTGTGTCGATTGCGTTTGTGTTTGTGCAGCAGCAGGATATGAATTGCCGGGCGATTGGCGGAGAATTGCATTCGAAACTGTGCCACGTGGCCAATCGTGGTGCGGGGGGGCTGGCAGTGGGAGCATGTCTGAATGCACTCTCCCGATACCATTTAGGCAGCAACGATTGTTAGTGAAAAAGTGTCAGTGTAATGTAATACAATTTGCCCCGAATGCATGTTATCGTGTTAAATATTTTAGCATGTGCATAAAGTGGAATAAATCAATCATGTTTAACCCATTAATGTCAGTTCGAATGGGCGCTGAAATGAAATAAAATCTGATCAAATATGAAAAAACTTCACTTCCACTTCCATATGGAATGTCCCTTTTAACCAGACTCACTTAGCAGTCGCTTTATTAGTCAGAAACCCTCTATTTGGCGAAGGGACACACGGAATGACCTGCGTTTGGTCCTTGGGAATAAACAGACAAGATGTCAACCAATGTCTAAGGACACTTCGGGACACATTTGAGTGGGGGTTGGTGGATTTTGCTTTCACTTTCAGCTGCCGTACCGCCTCCAGTCCGTGGAAAAAGAGACCACACAAAAAATAAGAGAACTGGCAGCTTAAATATGGCGGCAGGATTCCATTGTCAGCGCCTCGAAATCCGCAACTATTTCATTTCATTTAATTTGATTTATTTGCTGTATTTTTATTCTGTTTTGGTTTTTGCCACTGTGTGTGTGTTGTGTGTGTATCCCCACTCAATTTTCGGTGGAATGCAGCTAAGGAACGCCCCCATTCGGAAGCAGACCTCCTTGGGGCTCTTAATGAAAACACAAATCCAAATTCGGTCCTTGAGATGTGCGCTAGCGCCACGTCCTTGAGCCATAAAGCCTAAACACAGCTTGAATAGATACCGGGGGAGAGACAGAGGAATTTTGTGTGTTAATACCAAATGGGAGAACAAGTATAATTTCTATCTCAAAGATTAAAGCCATAAATTGGGGTAGTACCAGAGCAAAGGATCATAGTGCCACAAACAAAAAAGTGGTAGAGTCCGCCGTCTTTAATTATAATTTGGAATCTTTTTCTCTTTCAAGTTTATGAAGTGTCTGCATGTTGTCAATTTTTCACCGTTTTCACAGCTCTTTACAGGCCCAACGAAAGAACCTTAAATTCCAAGCAAATTTGCCTCCAGATGAAGAAGGCAAGGCATTTTTATGTGGGATCTTCGTGGTTTTACTTGGGGGATGGAATCAATGCTATCAAGCAACGGACATACATACACCACACAACTGAATTCGGGTCGCTTAATAACATAACGCATACGCCACGTATGCACACATGAACAGCTTCAGATTCGCCTGCTCTCCAATCTTTTGAAAGGTTTTCGGTTAAAATACTTTACATATTTTTAACGCACAAAGTATGTATCGCCTGGCGCCTGGAGGCGAACCATTCGAGTATGCCACTCTGTGTGGCATGGCTTTGTTGCGGGAGGATTACTGTAGTGGAAACTGTAGGGTGAATCGGGAGTCATTGTTGGCTGGGTTATAAGTACCCAAGATAGTTGAGTATTTCATTGTGCTGTCTATTGATTTCTCCAGCTACTTGAGATGCATGAAATATTTGTAGTCTTTCAGTCATTTGGCTTATTGCAGAATATGTTGATTAAACTGGGATAAAAGATCCATCAAATAAATACAAATCTCGTATCACGGGGCTTGTGGTTCTGTTCCTCCCAAACAGATCCAGTGATTTTTCTCATGCTTTCTCATCGTCACGGATCCAGATTTAGACCTATTTCTGAACACCATTCGCAAATTTGATTGATGATTCCAAATGATATTGTTTGGAGCAACATAATACAGCGGCAAATGGCTTTCCGGGGATGCATTTTATCATCAGAATGAAAGATTTATGCGATCGATGTATAGATAATTTATTTCGTAGTTATCTAGCAACCCTTTCGTTTAACGTTAAATCAAAATGATACGGAATAGTTAAATTTAGTCTTTGTTTTTCTAAAAAATACCATACACAATACTAATTTTTGTCGCCATGGAACAAAATAAAGAGACCGAAGAAACTTTTGATACCGGGCGAAAACTGTCAACACTGTCCACACGCCCACGACGCACAACGCAGTCAAGACGTTCCACATATACGACATACCACAAATCTAGTCAAAAATATGAAATTCCCATCCACAATAAAAATAAATCAGATGTGCTATTACAAAGTCTATGCAAGCGCCACCCGAATGACGCCAAGTTTATTGGAGACTTTGACAGCACTGAATTTGATAATGATAACATCTATATATGCAAAGCTAAAGATCCAGACGCACTTGATTTCATTGATCAGCAGCCCAGCTATAGTAAATTCAAATCACCCTTGTAAGATTCCCCAACGTATCGGATATATTAAACATTTATTCTCTACTTACACACAAATTGTCAACAGGGAATCCCAATGTTTGTCACGATATAAGGAATGTACAATGAAGTATAATCGTCTGTTCAAGAACGAGATGAGGAAACTCATTGACTACCAGTGTTCCGCCATCGAGGCAGCCTATCTTGTGCGGTAAGTCATGGAATGTACACAATGCCATAATTATTCTCAATACTCTTCCTTTATAGAGTGATGGCATTTACCACGCTATGGCCACCTTATCACAATGAATCGGAAATAGACAGTACATCTCGGAAATTCTTTCGTTTGACCCCAAAAGAGCAAAAGAGGTTCACAAAAATTACTGGTATGCCGTACAAATCAAAATGAAATGTAATTCCTTAAATATTAAAGAAAAGAAGCCAAACTTAGGTTTTTTTCTTCAGCGAATACCAATTTATTGCTGTCCAACTGTCTAGAGTCTCCAGTATTTATTGCATTAATATTCGTACTTCAGTAAAATGCAAAAGAAATAAACAAATTGCACAGACAAAGATCCCAGAGAGCATACAGACAGTGCAGTCCAGTCCTTGTGTCATTGCAATGCAAAATGTCGCAAAGTTCTTGCCGAGTAGTAGACACTGAAAAAAACTGAATATTTTTACAATTATAATTTATAGAATAGTTGGGAGTTTATTTGCCACACAGTCAAGAGGCAGGGCAGGCAGGGAAGATATGGAAAGAGTGGAAATAGTGGAAAGGAGTGGCAAAAACAGTTTCATAAATCCAGGAACATAAACATTCGCAAGTATTCACTGTATATTCGATCTGCATAAACAGTCTCCATTTCCTGGCAAAGTCATTTACATTGTACGTATTTTGGGGAGATCCAACATGGTTTGGTTTCTCTGCTTTTATGCAAAACTGCGCATAACTTTCGGGAGGAGTCTGCCAGACACGGCACACGGAACAAGGAATCCGGGACAGGGCATCTGGGATCCATGGTCCGAGGCATCATCAACGCGACCATAATGCTGGCCGCAGCGCGGCGGTCTGTCTGTCAATTGCATTAAATATTAACCCAAAATGTTGATAGCCCGCACATATTACAAAACGTGTCGGGGGTCCTTTGAGAGGAGTGGATGTGGCCGGACCAGGAAGAAGAAAAGCGGAAGCTGCATATTAAAAATAAAAAATGAATTCCTTTTTGGCGGGGCTTATTTTTGTTAATAAAAAGAAACCAATGAGGGAGAGAGGAAAAGAAGAAAACCCCAAATTTTTCACTTCACTGAATTATTCATGAATGCAATTTTTAGCCACAAATAAAATATAAGCAAGCGGAGAAGAATCGTTGGTGTGGCATGCACCAGGCACCAGTCACCAGGGGAAGGGGAAGGGGAAGGGGAAGGGTAACCACTGCAGCTGTGCCCCGTTGTGTCGTTCCGCGTCGCTTCAGACGACGTTGCAACATTTAGTGTAAATTAAAAGGAAAGCAGTTGAGGAAAACGAAATTGTGCATGAACTTTTGTGTGAATTATGAAGTCTGTTGTCACATTTGTGCCACAAATATTTGCAAATTTCCGCTCTGTGCTTAATTTTGTGGAAATATATTTTTTGGTGGCAACCCAGCCCAGAGAAGAAGACATATTTTATATATTTCCAATCGATGGGATTATTTAAAGCATGGCGGAGAAAATCTGTAACATTTCGTATTAAAAACATATCAATAGCCCTACACCAAAGTGTTTTTCCCCAGAAACTTTGGCTTGCTCGCAAAAACTTTGCCATCGAGCATTTAGTTCGGTTTTCACCCGCTACTTTTCAGTTTTGCAGCAAGTTGAAAATTTGAATTTCAAATCGGCCTGCAGATCACTCTTCTACAAGTACCCACCCCACCCATTGGACTGATACCAAGTTGTACTCAATGGAAACGGGCTGACAAATGACTTTCAGCCAAACTGCAGTGGAAAGTGCAGTGGAAAGCGCCATGAATGACATTTCGGAGCCAAAAGTTTTGCAGGTGTTAAATACGCCTGCAATGGTGTCACCGATCCAGCGATGGCAAGGGAGGTGGGGCGTAGAGGGCATAAAAACAAACACGGAAATCATGCACAGCATAAGCACCCATCCGCCTCGAACTTCTGGGGGCATCAAACAAACCGAGAAGAGCCATTAAAATAATCGCTGCAATAACCGCATTTGGTACAATTTCGTAGTCCTCACCCTTTGTCTCTCTAGTCTTTTCTACCTTTTCGAAGTCAACAGAGTGGGGGATTGAGGATGGGGAAACGGGGCTGGGGGAATGGGGGAATGGGGCTGGGGAAATGGGAATGGCGAAATTTGCATGCATAAGTTATGCGGAGTTTTGGGGCTGCAAACGTAACATATTGACACAGTAAACTGCTTAGATTGTCAAAGTTCGAGAGGCGGGAGCAAGCAGTAAGCAGTAAGCAGCAAGCAGTCGGCGGCAGTTTAAGGTGCATTCAAGTTTTTGAGAGTGCGCGCAAACAGTCCGCAAAAATCCTAAAGGGATTGCGTTGCATATTTCTGTCTTTGGGTCGCTTTCCATCGCTGCCATGTGTGTATTTGTGTGCCAAGCATATGCATTGAAGCCAAGTCAGCAGTGCCGTGCCACAGCATGTGTGTGCTTCTTGCAACTCTACAGGCACCGCTCCACACACAGAGGCAAAGTATCAGCAGTGAAAGAAAATCCATGCCGCTCGGTTTCTCTTTTTGCTATAATGCTCCTCGCTGGATTTGTTTTTACTTTCGTGAAAATTCATACGAAAATGAGAGAGCCCGAGAGAGTGACAGAATGTTTGCCCGTGAAAGCGCCATTTTAGCCACCGATTTGAGGTGGTTCGTAATTGTCATTCACGAGAGAAAGCCATTGGCAGAGTGGGGCATGCGCAGAACCATCCATGAGAGAGTCTTCTATAAAATAGTGGGATATTTTATGTTCTGGTTATACTTGGATTTACGAGAATCTGGAACTCTTTTAGTGAATGCTAATCCCAATTAGAGCTCACCTAGATTAGGTCTAGGATTTCCAGCTGCAAAGTGAATTGGGATGTAGAGTCATAGTTTACCGATGAGCAGGTTTAAATCTTATTCAAATATAAAGATATATAACTTTTATGGGGTTTACTTTCTTAAAAATAAGAACTTCGAAAAGCGGAGCAATATTTCCCCTCTTTGTCAAATACTGGGTACATTTTCCACCCCTTAAATGGAACTTTGTCAAATCCTAACAAGTGCCATGCCCCAAAAACATACTCTCTCTACAAATGAGAGCCCTCTAGTAGAACTCTCTTGGTGTAGGTCGTAAACAGCTGCAGCTGATGCGGTCCCCTGCGTCCTTCTTCGGCTCTGCCAGCAACAACTACTTGTATACGATGGAGTACGGGGTGTAGAGCAGAGCTGTCCACTTTAACGAGCGCACCTGACCAACTGCAGCTTATGTGTTCAGGTTACTTTATCCTCCATACACACACACACACACACACACACACTACACACACACACACAGTGTACTCTTACAGGAAGAAAGATTTATATTTTGTCACACTTACTTGAAACGACTTTGGCTGCCACTTGTTCTGCGGTCTATAGCAGGATGGAAATGGAGGTGGAGAGTGAGAAAGGATAGAGAGAGAGCTTGATTTTCCTTCCATTGGTTGTGTTCCATCGTCCTGCCATCAGCATCGTCAACTATATCGTTTTGGTCGCTCTGTCCTCTGGGATTGCAGTCAGTAACATTTACTTGGCTAGCATTACCTTTCAGCTCTGAGGCCGTGATGGAGCACCTTAGAGGAGAACCCGAACTGGCAGCAGATCCCGCACGATGGCCACGTGAGTCACGCGACCTTCTCTGGTTTTGATGCGGTTTATAATGTGCATTTCGCCTTGGCTGCCACACGTGAGTGACTTTAAGCTGTGCCAGTCGCGACGTATGGCGTTGGTAATGATGGTTTTGGCCAATGTTCAGCGTGGCTTATATATGTATATGGTCGCTCCCCGAGAGCATTGATATCCATCCTCCATCCTTCCTGTGTACGCAGTGCACTCTCTTTTCTACTTTTTATGTGTAGCTCTGCCACTTTTCACGTTTTCCCTCGTTTTCTCTTTTAGTTTTTTCTCCTTTTTTATGGGGCACATGACTCAATTATGTTGGATTGACATTTCGCAAAGGTTTTTCATCAATCAAGTGTGCTTTTTATACAGCACTCCGCTGCCGCTGCTGCTGTGGCTGCTGCTTCCATTGCTGCTTGTTTTTGTTGCAACGCGGCGTATACGTAATGGCTAACAGCAATTGCTAACATTGCACTTGCAATTTATCGTTTCGTGTATGCGTCTGAATGACCTGAGGAAATAATTCTACCATTCCATTTGGCTATATTTATGTACTCTTTCGCTTTGGATTTAATTTCGATTGCATCCTTTGCCCAAGCAATTTATATATTGCCAAGGTGATGTATGCTCTCTGCTGGGGCAACCTAAAGAAACTTTAACTGACTTTAAAATTGGCTTAAATATCTGTGTATATGTTTAAATATTTATGAAATTTCTCACGTAAACCATTAAATTTTCATAATTCATACAAATATTTGAACGCAAAATCCGAAGAACCAACCATCATCTTCGCTGACAACTCCACAATGACTTTTCTTCGCTTTCAACCCTAAAGGTTAAACCATAGACCCCCACCCCCACTCCCTCCCCCACCGCATAACTGGCAAGATATTGTTACCTAAACAAACAGAGTGAAAGGAAAAGGAAAACGGGAAAAACCGGAAGGGAAAATGCAATCACCTGTAACACAAAACTGAATACACAAACAAAACGAAGGGGCGAAAGGAAATATTTATGCCAGACTTTGATGTTGCCAATTGAAGAAGCCATTGGGTTGAAAACTGAGGACTGAGTATTGAGGATGAGGGCCAAATTGGTGTAAGCGTTCCGTTTTAATGCCTTGATTATGCAACAATTGGGGAGAAAAATGTAAAAATTAAATGGCAACTGAAGCGATATCTGTGTCTGTGTCTGTGCCTTTAGACGGTAAGAAAGAAGTTTCACCCCTCGATTCTCCACTTTCCCAATTCCGCTTTTTGTGTTGCTTATTTATGCACATTGCCTGGGCCGCTTTTTCTCTGCCGATTTTCTGTTTCACTTCACATTTTGGGGATTGGGGAAAAGAGTTAACTAAAGTTTATTGTGGCCCTCTTGTACTGGAAATCGAAATAAAAACTGGGTCTGGGTCTGGGAATGGGGTTGTGTCACTAGATGGCAATGCGAGTACTACTCCTAAGTTCCATCCTGTCATTTCCTTCTTTTGTTGAATAGTCTATGCCTTGTTCTAGTCGGGTCTTCGCTTGCAATGGGATTGAATGAATGAAAGGAAGTACATTTTACACAGAATA